CGAAGGAACTGCCGAGGCAGATCGTGGATAGGCCGTACGTAAGGGCGTCGACACTCTTCGAGTCGGACGTAGCCATCTGGGTGGCATCGGGCCAGACGATATCGAATCTCGAGTAGATGTGGGGGATCGCGAGATTGTGAAGGTTCGAGTTGGTCAAGGCGAGCGAGGTAAGGTCATTTGTGTGCGTGATCTAAAAAATGTCAAATGTCAGTACTGGGAGAGAGACCGAGGTGTTGATAGCGTGTCAACTTGCCTCCTTAATGATCAAGCGCAAGATGTCCACTGGTAACTCGAGAAGGGTCAGCTTCTTGCCTGACTTGCTGGGCGCGACAGCATCCCATTCTTTGTCCTTGCCCTTCATCAGTTTGCGCATGACGACGGCGGGGTCTACCGAAGCATCGGGGACGCCATCGTAGTCAACAGATGCGGGGTGGCCGGGGACGTCGTTGTGGTAGGGAAGTTCGACCTCGTTCGGATGCGGCTCGGCGGCTTGATGGGTCATTGGATCGCTGGTCTGCAGGGCTGGGGCCATGATCGCGAGGGGCCTCAGCGCATGCTTCGGATTGCGATGGCAGCGGTTGTCGATTGTTATTGTAGGCTGCTACTGCTACAATGGCGTGGCTTCTTTCGGTTGCCAATCGCGTAATATGATGTAAGGTACTGTCGGGGTGAGGAGTGAGTCGTCAGAGGAAGCGATCGTGGGTATCTTGGCTCGGATGCGAAAGGCGCGTTTTGGGCTTGTTCTTTTTTTTGTAAACCCGCGGATGGGCCAGAGAACAGGATGGTAGAATGGATTAAAGAAAATACCGGGCTGGAGGAAGATGATTGGGAATGCTTTGTTGAGGGAATCAAAGAAAGGCTGGCGACAGCAGAGGTCTCGCGAGACCAATCATGTCATGTCAGAAATGACGGACATGGGGTGTCATGAAATTTCGTTCGTTGCGGCTCTGTGGTGAGGAGGAAGCGGCGACGGCGACGGCGGTAATTGTGGTAGTGGCGGCGGAGGTCGAGGTGGTGGTGGTGGTGCGTTGGTTGCCGGTGCAGTCGTCAGTCGTCGATCCGGTGGTGGACGTGGGTGGACCAGCTTGGGTTGACCAAGGTCTTTCCCAATGTGCTCCGCGCTAAGGTGGGTGGTCCGGTCACACGTTCCCCGGATATATCGTGCGTGGTGTACGTAAGGAAGGTACCTTTTTTCAACTGTTGCTCTTTCCTCTGTGGGAAATGGGGTAAAACTCCCGACTAGAAGGGAATTGTTTTCCCAATCTGATTGGTCAAGGGAAACAACAGGCAGGGTTCAGGCAACTTGCCTTTCAAGAGTTCTCCTTCCTGCTTGTTCTGGGTGATGGAAATCGTCAGGAAGCAGATGGATACAAGGAAGAAGGTGTTGCACCTGAGTGAGGGCAGTCAGTTGGATAAGGTAAGGTAAGGTAAGGTAAGGTACGGAATAGGTACCTCAAAATCAGAGCGACCCGGCGGCGGCAGTACGGATTTAGAAGAAGGCGGAAACCAGGTAGGGGTATATTTGTCGGGTCCCATAAGTATTCGGTCCCGCACCTTCAGTTCCAGATTTGGGGGCGGAACCCCAGGATCATCTTGCAACGTGTGGTTCCTTACGTTGGCGGCAAGGGCATTTCACTTGTTGGACCTGTTCTCTTAGTCAGTCGCAACCTGCGGAGTATTGTGTAATAGGCTAACACTCCTTTCTTTGAGACGGCCGATATCTCACACAGACAGGCCTGCCATGCGAATGAGATAGATTAAATGCAAGCTCAAATTCTCCGACGGCGGTGGAGGAAGACACTCATATGAACACATATCCGTATGCAAGTACGGCAAACACCTCCTAGCCCCTTCTCCTGCCGTCGGACCATGAATCCATATTCTGTCCCCCGTCGTTTCCATGGGGTAATGCATAGAAACAGATGTGTGTACCGTGGCCGATGATCCAAGCATGGAATAGCGTTAATCTCAGTTCTTTCAAATGAAGAGACTTAACTTGACCCAGCCCAATTCAGATCAGCTTGTATACTTAAGCTTACCGTTAATTTGCCTTCAAGCTATGCTATGACGTCTGGATTCCGGGGTTTCAACGGCTTCAGCACGCTGCTACATGCAGCTCCTGCTTGATCCTGGCGGCACTGACAATAAGGATTCAAGCTTTTTTCTGCATAATCTACGTACTCTCTATCTTCAGTTGACACCCAAGGGGAATACAGGTAGTCTGGAATGCTGTTTCCAAGATAGTGCTAAGTACGCAGTCAGGAACTGTGCTATCTTCTTGGTGGCCGGCCGCATTGACGGGGATTCCGCCCATTGCTCTTCGTGCATGGCTCAGAGTGAAACCGAAATCCGGCAACTGTTATCGCCGACGACGTGACTGGACCCCCACCACATACCTTACTGAGGTGCTTTGAGCATGGAAGATGGAACACAACGGGCAGCCTACAGAAAGCAAGCATAGCAAGCAACAGCGATGGACCAAATGAAGGAATTGACTTCTTATATTTTGACAGGATGCGGTTAATATAAGGCAAACCACCACTGCAGTAAGGATCAGAACGGATACTCTGTACGCTTCACCCCGCAACTCGTCTTCGACGGACCCCAACGAGCAGGTCAGCAGGTCCCCTTCGCCTCGCCTCGGCTCAGTGGAAGCTTTGCGTTAGAAAGGTCACGACCCCACGACCCCAGGAAAAAAGAACGCGACGGTGACGTTTCCCGAGCCATGGAGGGGTCATTCCGGCCTCTCGCCGCTCCATTCCTGCTGCGCAGAAACAGCCAAAGAAGCGTGTTCCGAAGGGCCGCGTGCTGTGACCGGTCCCTCCGTGTTGCTTGACGGTATTTGTCGTCGTCTTTGACTTGGGCAATCCGTGACCACCTAGAGAGACGGAACCTGCCTGTCTGTCTGCCTGATAGGCAACCCTATGACCCTTTCTCTTGACAACCACAACCAGCCCCATAAACATCCCAACACGTTGGAGTCAACTATCGCGAGGCCACCGTCACCTCTTGCTCTCTATTGTGCCACCTGTTCTGATTCTATAAACACCGAGTGACCACGTTGCATCCACCCTCCGAGAGAGAGAGATACCGTATAAAAGGAAGATAGAGATAATACCGTGTCTCCTCTGGCTTGCTGTTGGTCAAAAAAGAAAAGGTACATTATCTCGACCCTTCCCCCCCTCTCCCCTCCTTCTCCCAACCCCCGCCACAACCCGCGCGTGTTGTCAAATGGTACCTGCCCTTACCTACCTTACCTCACCTATAAGGTAACCTTCCACCTTCCCTGACCTTCCTAAGCAACCGGAAGGGACCCCTCTCTTTCCTGCCCCCTCCCTCAACCCAATTGTTGCTCATCCCAGAAACGCTATTTATTATGCGCTCTTACCGCCTTGACTCTGCCGTCTAACTGCAAATCCAAACGAAACAACAGCATCATCGCCAGATAAAAAGTCGCCGTGAGCGTCGTCTTACGTTTTGAAAAGAAACAGAACATCCTACCCTGGTCACCTTTCCGAAGCAGCTCTCATAAGCTAGAACAAGCCGGAATCCACTCCTCCGAAGCTCCCTATCCACCAGCGAAATACTCCACAGAGAAACATCACACCCAACCACTACTCCGTACAAACACTGCAAACAATACAGCGGCTAGTATTCACTTTGTCAAGCCGCGCACCACCTCCGCGAAATCGAACACAACGATCGAACGATACGAGAACTACATTTGATCGGCCGACGGCGAACCTGTGCATCCGCAAACGCCATACATTAACAAAGACACCGAAGCCCCTCCTCCCATATCGATCATGGCGGCCTTCGTCACCAACCTCTGGGAGTCAATCTTCACCCCAGGCCCAACACCGACTCTCCTCCGCGCAACCAACGCAACCTTTGCCGCCCTCCAGCTCCTCCTCGGCGTCCTCCTCCTCGCCACCTGGAGCATCCACTTCGTCATCCTCTCCTTCCTCAGCGCGGGCCTCTGGTACGCTATTAACTGGTTCGTCGTCGAGCTGGCCGAACACGCAGAGAAAGAGGCCAAGAATGCGCGTGGTACCGATACATCCGCTGGCGGAGCAGTAGGAGGCGGCGCGGCAGGGGCCAATACTCAAGGAACGGATGATAGCGACACGGAAGTTGAGGGCGGCGCAGTTGTCGGCGGCTCAAGGGGTGGCGCTCGCGGGAGAAAGGGCGTCGTGGGCGGTAGCAGCCAGGTCGAGACAGCCGCGGAGCAGCAGCAAGCGGCCGACTTGAAGCGTCGCACCGCCGTTTCCGCCACTGTCGAGTCCGGAGCTGAAGATGCCACTAACGGGGGCACGCAGTCGAGTGTGAGCACCGAGGATGAGTGGGAAAAGGTTTCCGAGAACGAGAACGAGAAGGACAAGTGAATGAGCGTCGGGGCGCGACGACGACGTACGGAACACACATGACGACGAGGGTACGCTTAACCAACACCACTCGTCGAGCGATGCACACCACTCGAATATTTTACCACCATGGAGGAGGAGGAGAACGAGGGGGGAACGGGGAATTGTATGGAGAGACAGATGTTCGGGACGCATCCGCGCGACGAAAGATTTGAGATACCCTTGAGCAAGCGTCGACACATGCACTACCACTGTCCGAACCGGACTTGTACATAGGGCTTTGGCAGCATGCTCCATCGTGGGCAGCTCCGCGTACACATACTTACGAAGACAGCGATTGGCACTACTGGTATTAGCCTCATTCATCCGTGATACTGAGTGTATTCATCGAAGGCCATGCTGAGACATAGATCCCTGACATCTAGGGAAAACCCGCAGCCTCGAGATGTGCCATTTCTTCGAGATCACTTAAATGAAGCCAAAAGCCCTATGCGCTTTATCCCACACATGATCTAATGCAAGAGAGCTTACTCTCTACCCCTTTCCGTAACGCCATCCCATATCCCCTGCGCTGCCTTTGCCCCTACAATGATGAAATCCGTGCTGTTTCCTCTTTTCCTACTCGTACATTGGAACTCAGAGATGCTTGAGCTTTCGCGTGGCAAACGCGGCCACCACCGCACAAATGGCACCGATGAAGAGGCAGACCGCAATGGCGTTGGGACCGTCGGTGTTATGCTGCTCGTGTTCGGGTGCGTCCGACAGTTCGGGGCTTTTGCCCGGCTCTAGAATGGTGAAGACAATGGTGCTTATAAAGGTTCCGATAAACTGTGGCAGGGTCGTGTAGATGTTGAGTATGCCAAAGTAGATGCCCGACAGCTCGCCCGTAGACGACGTCGTCTGCTGGCCACCCTCGTCCGGCCCGTGTTCCAGATGGAGCGGCTGGTCCTGGCCGAGCGTGGGCAGCTCAATGTTGGAGTCGTTTGAGAGGCGGCGGTAGGCTGCTGACCCGCTCCCTCCTTCGCGGGCACCACTGAGCTTGTTGACCTCTACGCCGAGGAAGGTCGTTGGCGCCCACATGGCGATCGTCCACGATAAGCCGCAGAAGGCTACGAGGAAGGTTGCGAAGCGGAAGCTCTGCGCAAAGGGTGCCAGGAACATGGCGGCGGCGAACATGAGGTGACCGCATATCCAGGCTGTCATGAGATCGGGCTTGTTCTTGTTGAATCGTTCAAGGAACGGCGCAATGGCTTGGGGCGGTCGAGCCGTAAAGTTGTCATCATCTGGCGATTTAACGACCATGGGCAGCAGCCAGGCGCCTATGAAAGTGATGGTCGAGTAGATGACCAGCGCCAAACTACCGATGCGGCCAATGTCGCCAAGGGCATCTTTGGAATCTTTACCCTCTGCTGGAGCGTCGTATCGGAAGTACGTCTCGCCAACCCAGGTGGTGCTGTAGAACAAGAACGGGAACCAGCCGATCCAGGACCAGAACTGGGCCCAGCAGATGGCCTGGATCCGAGGGGGAAGATGGAGCAGCGTCGACCAAATTTGGCGGAAGACCTTGAACCGCCCGGTTGCTTTGCGGGGGTCGTGCCTTGTTGACACCAAAACCCGCTCAGTGACAGCCCAGCAGGTCACTCCGGAAGAGAAGAGCATCAAGAACGTAGCGATGAGCGTGAGCTGCTTGAATTGCGAATCGCCCATTGTCTTTCCAAATATGCCGACCAGATCGATGGCACCGGCTCCATAGCCCAGCATGTGTCCAATCGCGGACATTCTACTAGCTTTGTGGGGATTAGCGGACGGTGTGCAACCTGGGGTGATGATGCAAGCTTCACTTACACCACGCGGCGCCGGTCTGTTGCTTTTCAATGGGGAGAGTATCGACGATCAAGCTTCTTGCGCAAGACATTACTATACCAAAGTCAGCTTCAGGAATAACGAGAGACTTGCGTGCAGGCCTAATTCAACGCACCAGCATTGATGGCGAAATCCACAAAGTAGATGGCCACCACTGCGAGGATAATGGTAAAGATCCGCGCAGTCTCCTTGTCCGACACGAACATCTCGACAATCTCTTTTGTGAATCCCAAGGTCAGCAGGCTGACTGCGACGATGATTGAACCTATCACGATGAATGGTCGCCGCCTGCCCCATTTCGACTTGGATTCGTCCGCGATAGCTCCCACAATGGGCTGGACTACGAGCCCCGATAATGGTCCTGCGATCCACACCAGCGAGGTGTTGCTCTTTGTGAGGCCAAGATTCAATAGGTATGGTGTACAATCTGTTGTCAGGGTGGATTAGTATACGAAGACTGGTGATAGGGGACAGACAGCGACGTACAAGTCATCTCAATTCCCCATGTGAAGCTGCATTAAGGTCCTAGTCAGTATGGCAGACCCATTGGCAATCGTCGCTTGCGACATACGTGATACCAAGAGTGTTGAAGGTCAAGAGCACCATTCTCATGGCCTCCGAGCTCCCCCTAATGGAGGGTTGTCCCGCCCAGCTAGACATCCCTGCGGGATCTTGCTCTAATACGGAAGCGTCGTCGTCTTGGGAGTAATCGTGACCGTCGTCGTTCTCGCCTCTTCTGAATGTGTCCGTATGGTGTCGAGGAAAATTGCCAAGACCGAAAAGCTTCGTGTTCCCTTCTCGGTGCGCTTCTGGGGGTTCGCGGATTGCAAAGGGAAAGTGGACGTCGTCATCTAGCTCGTTGCCGCCCTTGTCGTCATCGATGTTGCTGCTGGAGGATCTGGAGGGTGTCCTTATTGGGGTTGATTTCCCGCCCGAGTAATCGTCGTCGTAGTCGCGGTCATACAGCGAAGGGGAAAGGTGAAGGTGTGAGGATGAGGATTTGTGCGACGAAGTCGTTGAGGCCGACGTATGGGCCATTTGAAGGGGCCGGCGCAGCACTCCGTGCAGCAGGCTGCTTGCGCTGCCAAGGGCAGGGCGGGCGGCTTGCGTATGGGCAGGGGGGTTTTCAAGGTGTGGACCAGGACCGAATTTAAAGTAATCCTGGCGTCGCGGCCGCTGCGGATATCAGGACCGGGTGCGCGTCATGCCCACAATTCCGTGGTTGTGAAAGGAAAATCAACCAACGGGAGTAAACTTTGCTGGCAGATTGGGGATGGATGCAACGGAGGTCCAAGATGTGCAGGCCAGAGGAGTGGTGGTAACGTCGAGCTATGGTGGGCCCAGCACGGAGCAGGCGCATCGAGGGTCCAAGGAACGGAGTACGGAGTACGTACGGGGGAAATGATGAGGTAGGGGGCCAGCTGGGCGACCGGAATGCAATGCGAAATTGGCAGGGCGAATGAATGACTGCTGCGCACCTCACTATTCAACTTTGGATTGTGCAGAGCCGGGAGCTTGGAATACCTTACCTTAATGTAATGATGAGGTATTGCCTACCTTAAGCAATAAGGGTTCGCTGGGACAAGACAGCCCCAGGATGTGCATAAGAACAGGAGAGGAAGCAAGCATTAGACCAATGGTCAGGGTCCTCAGGGAAGCAAGCTCTCAGCCTGCTTTCTGTGCTTCCCTCATGTAAATGAGCATGCGTGGCTTGATGGAACATGGAAGGGATAGTAGGCACCTCAGGTAAGGTAAGGATTTGTTGTGCAATCGTTCTGTCCATAAGTAGAGATAGGGAGTACATTGTACCTAACACGAGGGAGACCACCAGAAGTGACGGAAACGAGAAGACCTGCGGTATCAAGAGTTTGAATTCAATGGGGCTTGAAACAATGGAAAGTAACTTAGATTGCCCTGCACTCCAATTCGTTCAGTGGGAATTCCTCCCAGGTTCCATTCAAGGTAAGGTATGGTCTGTCAATTCCCAAGCAATTGGCCCAACAAAATGGCTTGGAAGTTGGAGCCACGTCGAAGCTTACACGGGGAGTTTCTCGCGTTAGAAGCTCTGACCATCTAAAGAAGCCAGTTTCAACTTTCAAGACAAGCCCGTACAGAGATGCTCTCTGAGGATATCGAGACTTAGTCATGGCCAGGCATTAGGGAAGGATATTTCTCACCCCGAATCTCTTGACTAGTTCAACCATATATACTGGGCACCATTTGTGCCTCTCCTCTGGGGCTTGAAATTCAGCAATTCCACAGTAAAGCAACTTGAACATAGAATGCCTGAACTTGCCAGGATATCTACTCTGTACTTTACTGTCACTCTCGGTTTCTCTTCAATAGCGACACAAGACCAAGCGCCTTTATGAGTACTTTAGGGGTAGATATCACCAAAGCATTCCATAGTCTACTTCAACATAACGTGAGTTGAGGGAATCGATAAATATACTCCGTACATATCCTCCTTCAACTCAGGAACGGCAGGTAAAGATACAATCCCCGAGGTACCCAAGTGGCTTACCTCAGCGAGGGCCCGCTGTGAGAACGGACGCAGGTGCCGCCTGCCCTTCCGGCGTGTGCCGTCACTTGGTCCAAGGACTGCCCCGCGTTCAACGGCGTGCCCCGCCATCCATTCGCGCTCTCTGCGCCAGTCGCAGCTCCGACATAGGCCAACGTGGTGGTGGCCCGCGGTGATGAGTGACGACTGCTGCCGCACACTAAGACGGCGGGGTTCCAATCCACCACACAAAATTTCCGCCCTCTCTCTCTTCCAGTCTTGGCCCGGTCTTTGACTCACCGCAGAATCGAACAAGTGTAGTCACCCCCATACGGACAGCTTCCGCGAGAACCAAGAACAAAGTCGCGCAGGCTTCGACTTTTATCATTACCCGAGCCCCATACCAATTGACTCGAAATCACGCTCGCTTTCCAGGCCTCAACCACTCCTCGGAACACCTCGCACCGACCTCTGTTGTGTGACCCAAAAACCACCCCGCCGCTGTCGCTGCAGAAATTCTCGTCGCCATTGGCTTCACTGCGACCTTGTGCTCCAATCCACACACGCGCCCGACCCGACCGTTTCCACCTAACCTCTTGAAGCGTTTCAACTCTAGGAGCGACTTCTCTCCGCCTATCGTATTCCCGTCTGTCGATCGCGTCATTGCAACATACCTTTGCCTACCATGGATTTGGTCAACCAGTTGGTTTTTATCCCTCCATCACAACCGCCATGGACCATTTCGCAGAGAAGCTAATGACGAAGCAAAGCCTAGAGGGCCGCCTTCTGTTCGCCGTGCCCAAGAGTGAGTCAACCCATAGCCTCCATCTCAAAAGGCGCACATGCTGACAATGTCTCCTTTCCACAGAGGGCCGCTTGAACTCCGCTACGCTCAACCTGCTTGAGGGAGCCGATATCCAGTTCCGCCGCGAGAACCGCCTCGACATCGCCCTTGTCAAGAACCTCCCCATCGCCCTCATCTTCCTGCCCGCCGCCGATATCCCCACATTTGTCGGCGAGGGCCGCGTCGACCTTGGTATCACAGGCTGGGACCAGGTCAAGGAGCACGATGCCGGCGTCATCAGCAGCAACAAGGCCCGGAGAGCCTCCGTCGAGCTAAACGCCGAGGGCGAGGAGCTCCAAAAGGTCGGAGGCTGCGAGATGGTCATGGAACTCGGCTTCGGCCACTGCAAGCTGCAGACCCAGGTCCCGGAGAAGGGCCCTTACGCGACGACGCAGGACCTGGTTGGCAAGACCATTGGCACCAGCTTCGTCAACCTGGCGGCAGAGCACTTTGCCAAGCTGGAGCTGGGCGTCGATGCCGATGGCAACAGCAACACCTCGCCCAAGAAGCTCCGCACCAAGATTATCGATCTCAGTGGAAGTGTCGAGGCTGCTTGTGCGCTGGGTGTCGCTGATGGCATCGTTGACCTTGTTGGTAAGTAGTCGTCCTAGAATGACTAGCATCCGAACAATCACTAACACCCGCGTCCAGAGTCTGGTGAGACCATGAGAGCCGCCGGCCTCAAGGCCATTGACACCGTCGTCGACTCTCAAGCCTGCCTCATCAAGTCTCGGTCGCCGTCAAACACCGAGCTGATCGAGCTCATCGCCGCCCGTATCCGCGGTGTCATTACCGCTCAGAGATTCGTCCTGTGCCAGTACAACATTGAGAGGTCACGTCTGGTTGAGGCCAAGCAGATTACCCCTGGAAAGCGGGCGCCGACCATCACAACGCTGGACGAGGAGGGCTGGGTCGCCGTCAGCTCAATGGTCGAGAAGAAGAAGATTGCGCTGGTGATGGACGATTTGACCCGCGTTGGCGCTCAGGACATTTTGGTGCTCGATATCCACAACACTCGATAGATTTTGCAGTCTTTTGGAAAGGAAAAGATAGATGAATACCACGAACCATGTAATGCTCTTGCAATAATGTTAGCAGGAACGCAAGAATTATCCAATATGTCACAACTGTAGGAACGGCAAGAGTCCCAAAGAACAAGACGTGACCGAAAGCGAAGATGAAGCGGAAGCTGGGTGAAATGTTCGTCCATCACCGACACAGCTGTGAGCAGTTGTGGCTGAGGTGACAGTCTTTTCGATGGTACGTATGGCATTGAGGCGCCGACATTACTTGCGTCGCTAGCGTTGCATTTCGAGGCTCTGCACTTTTGCTCGGCCTCATCGACCAGCCCCTCCTTCTGTGGATGCAGGGCTGAATCAGATTGAGCAGAGCCACGCACCGGGCACCCCTGATCAACAAAGCTCTAGGGTCTTTGGGGGGCTCGGGTCCTCGGGCCCGCACGAGCGAATTGGATATCGACCGATGCTCTGCGTGAGTTGTGTGTTTCGGGGCCTAATTCTTTTCACTGCAATCCTTTAGCTTGTGTTGAGAGAGAGGTGTGATGTGATGTCTTGCTGATCAGTGATCCCCTAATACGCGCCAAGTGGAGACCTTCCGTCACTCCCGTATCCCGACCGCAGTGCGCGCGAGGTGAGGTACCGCAAGGCGAGGCGCACCACCTGGCAACCGAAACCGAGGCGGTGGTAAATTTAGGCCCAGTACCTACGGATAGTGGTAGCACGGCGGCGGTGCTGCCCGCCCGCGCCGAAGCTACCGATGATCAGGTACCTTACCTCACCTCACCTTACTGACATATTTCTATCTCCGCACGCCGCCGTCTTTGACATTGCTCCCTTTTTCTGAAATCTTGATTTTAACCTCATCTCTGAAAAGACAGGTCGCCGGCAGATTGCCAGAAAGCCTTATTTCGAGCTTCACAAGTCATTCTCAGCTAGACGTCCATCGTCCACGGACTCTGCAAAGTATTTTAGCCATCGGGGGGGCACAATGTCGTCATCAACAACAGCCACCAAAGCTACTGCCACGCGAGGCGGCAGTGACGCTGGAGCCGTCCAGCAGTCCACCATTTACAAGGTAAGCTCCCCACGAGCTCAATCTCAACGCGGTATCATGAAACCTGGGGTTTGCTCTGAAAGACCCTCTGAGAGGGGTTCCGGACGAGCGGGTTATCTCAGGTGACATAATCGCCGTGTTCTGATGCGCAAGATCGCCCGCTCATATTTGGCCCTAGTTTGTAATGACGCCCATCATCCTCATCTCCTTCCTGCTCTCCCTGGCCTGGGTAGACCTCACCTACACTATCAGGAGGTCAAGAAACCACGGCCGGCAGGGCTGGATGCCTTCCTGGCTGCACAGCATCCTCTACCGGAGATCACAGTACCGCTACGCAGAAGCCCAGGACTCAAAAACAACGACGCCAACGACGACACCGAGTCCCAAGGACGAAAAGGAGGAGTTTTACTACCACAGTAAACAGAAGAAGCTGCTGCGCGCGGAAGTCGACGACGCATTCCAGCTGAGAGGTCAAGTTCTCGTCGTGATGGCGCTCGTGTTATTCACGGCGTCGCTGGCTTTTGCGTGGGGTGGCTGGCAGATCTCCAGCTGGGTGTGGAGGAGGTTTGGCGAGAGGGCTTCCAATATTTGAAAGATTACGAATGAGATTGTGGATTCTGCGCCGGGCTGAGATTTCTGGCATACAGTCGCAATTCCACGTTTTTCAAAAGTTCTTCCCAGCTTATCAATGCGCACCCGGGATAATGGCGACACAAGTTGGGATGAACTTTCTGTTCATGCGACTCTTCCAAGGGCTCTGCCAGAGTCGATACCGGGGCCCACTCGACATACCTGGTGCCTAACTCGGCCAGCCCTCGACAGCTCTCAGATCCTGTGGCACCCAAAACGACAAACGGATAGCAACTTAGAGCTTACCTCAATGTTGGTGCGCTATTGAATACAGCCCGGAGACATATGAGTGGCTATGATGGGAAAACTGGATGAGAGTTCGGACAAAACGGCGTAGAGGGCGAAACCTTGGAGGTTCGATTATACCCTGGAGTTGATTTGTAGCTACCTGCAGTTAATGATAGAACCAAAAGTTTGCACGTTTCTCAGGGTCCATCAGATGTAGGAGTCGGCTAATGAATGATTCTTGCATAGATACCATGATGTAGTCTTATGTATTCACCCATATGAACACGTGGGAGGAAGGAAGCGAACATGTTACCAAAATCAACAAATCGTAATTAAGACACCCATTATTGACTGTGATATCCAATTGCTAGAGAATCAGAACTTGCTTTGTTCAAGGGCAGATACACTTAACAGAAGCCAAGCTCAAGATAAAAGAGTAGTTAAAAGAGGCCACGTTAGCATGAATACAAAGCAGGCGCGATCATGCGGTCTAATCTTAGAGATGGGATCGAGCGGGAAGGAACGACAGAGAATGAGATCGCTCCTTCCCTTGAGGGACCTTGACATCAGATCAAATCATCGCGAGCCTTGCCTTATAAGTAGCTACATGTCCCCATTCTTCGTTGAGCACCGGACCATATAGTCGAATGGTTCTGAGCTATAGAGGCCCGGTTAGGCCGTAAAGTCTCCAGTCTATTTCAGGATTTATATTCGATCCTCAATCAGTCCAGCTTGATTGTAACACTTTTCGACTCTTTATGATTTGAGATATCTGATCTAGTAGTGCTCCCTCCCCAAGTTATTTACGGGCAGTTGAGTGTTTTGAGTCTGACCTCTATATACAATCAGAACATACTTTCTTATTCGCACAATTAAACATCTCTAAGAAACACTTCTTTAGTCTCTTAGTTACTAGCATAACAAAATCTTGACCTTTTCTCTTTCAATTATTTGATATCTCAAGTCCTTCAGTCTTTCATACAACAGCTTGTTGCACTGCATCTTCTTGCTTGCCAACTGCCGGGGAAGGGGACTCAAGTGGGGCCGATCGTGGAGTGGGCCCCAGCACCGTCAGGGAACGCAGCTTCCCTTGCCGGCTCTGGGAATTTTCTGGAGCTTCCCTCTTACCCCACACACGCGCCGACTTGCTCTTTGCACCTTTCCTTTTCTGGCTTTCAACGCGCCGACTCCAACTCTTTCAAGTTCAACTCACTCAACCGACCTTACAGCTTGCTTTTCCAGACTCATTCGTTCATTCACTGCAAAAACGTCACAGAGACATTCGGCAAATGCGACACATGGAAGAACAGTCATGTCGGATCCGGAGCCTGCACCTCAAAGGCCCGGTATCTTGCACGGCACCAACGCGCCACTGAGCAGTGCCTTCAGAGCAGAGCTATACCAGGCTATCGAGGCCCTTTACGCGGTCGGTGGTGGGCCCGACACGTCCCACGCGATCAAGTCAGAGACAAAAAGCTATCCGACTACGACAGAACAGCACTCCGCCTCCAGTCATGCAATAGATGCTGCATACGGTCGGCTCACTGAGGTTCTGAAGCACTGGGACTCTAGGATTCGGGATCGATCCCTATCACTTCAACATGCTATATACCACTTCCACACCCCGAAAAACCCCATGGAATTCGAGAGTTGGGTCATGGGGCAGAACATGTCTGCTGCTGACTCCACCCTCATTACTCGTCTCATCGACTTGTGCCCTCGGCTAGGATTCGAGGTTCTTCCAGTGGTTATGAAGTATACAGGAAAACGTTGCCAGTACCAAGCCTGGATTTCCCTCCAGAGAGACGGCAATGCCGGGTCGCAAACCCCTGAGCAGAATGGCTTTTGGCAGGTCAACCAGCATATCAGCCACTTACCCAGCATTGGGTATTTTGGCAACTATGATGATTTCACGCTTGCCGAAAACATCCATTGCCACGCGGGCAATGTTCTAGAGGATAGGAACATTCTCTGGGAAAGGGCTCGTCGGTCAATCTTCTCATGGCAATGGCCCTCTGAAGAGCGGGCCTTTCACGAAGAGCGAACATATCGTGAAACAAACCCTCAGTGGTACCAGCACATTGTCCCAGGCACTAGTGGTGACCTGGGACATTACTTTGCACCAGTGAGTCCAGGGCGACCTGCCGTTACAGTGTTTGTGACTCCATTCTGACTATACACAGGCAATCATTATTACACCTCTCCGAACACAACTAGACTCTGTCAACATGACCAATCAACCGCAGCTTGCTGGCAACCTCTGGCGCTATCTCTTGCGGCAATGCAAAGAATCTTCAGAGTCGGCTTTCTACTTTGAAGCACTCAAGTCTCTTTGTCAATTTGTTTGGCCTCAACACGGCAATGAGCTGCCAGAGACACAGATCCTTGGTCTGCGAGTTCGGAGCCGTGAAGATTTTATCGGAAAGATCGACCCTGGTCTCATGGGTGATCTAATCTTGACTTCACTGGCGTTCAATGACCATCCACTATTCCAAAACCTTGTCGCCAATACCCGATCCAAGCCGATAGTAGACTATGATTGGATATGCCAGAATGCGATCTTTCATGGCTACTCAGCAGCTGATGCTCTTTATGAGTAAGTCATACATTTGCAATCAACAATCAAAGCTAATACCAGCTTAGGCTTCGCCATTTCTTATCCGAGGGCAACAGCTTCTTGCACGTTGCAAGCATAGTCGAAAAGCTGCCTGCATATGCCGAAGCCGACAATTCAAGCCATGATACCCAGGAGTTGGGGATCATGGCCATTAGAATGCTTGAAGCCCCCCTTTCAGCTAGCCATGGCCGGCTCATAGTAAATCTCTTGGAGTTGTTCAAGGACTTTGGCAAGTGGAGGGATACGTAAGCACATTCTCTATTCTATAGTCTGTTCTTACACTAATAATCTGCAGGGTGGACGCAGCTGTGAGCCGACTTGGAGAGACCCAACAGCAGAGCCAGTTCATCCTCGGATTGTTTAACAGACTTTTTGAGGTGGCCAAGAGACACAAGCTCCCTCTTGACGAAGTCACCGAGTTTTACGAGAAGCACGCAGGGATGACAGGAGCATCACGAACGCTATGGAACATCGAGAACTTGGTCAGCAACACCAACAAAGAACAGAGCGCTGAAGCCAAGGCTGCTCGCCAGGCCTGGTGCGTTGCTGAACCGACAGAAGAATTTCTTAACGACCTCTCAAAGCCGGGTCCAACGAACCACGCAATGATCGCCGGACTACTCCGAAACCTTGATCGTCTTGGTATGAATGATCAAGTATCCAATTTCACAAACCACATCGCCCAGCATGTTACCGAGATTCAGCCCATCCATTTGGCACCTCTCTGGCTACCATTTCTCAGGACCCTCCAGGATGTGGTGGACCCCGATAAGCCGGCGTACCAGCGCCTGTTCCAAGCCATCTTTGTGTACTACGAGAGCGCAGTCTTTGAGGATGTCTCGGGTCGAATCGAGCGGGAGCCAAAGTCGATACCCCCAATGGCTGAATGTTGTGGTCACTGCAAGACTCTCAACTCCTTCTTCGAGCAACCATCATGGAAAACGATCCACTTAGTCAAGCCCAGGGCAATCGTGGACCATATCAAAGGACAGCTTAACAAACAGGATAAGCCCATCAAAGCAGCCATCTACGGTAAGAACGAGGCTAGTCTGACGATGCAGCTTACCAAGTTTTCGCTGGTCAACGAAAGAATCCGCACAACCGAGAGATTGAGGAGACAGGAGGCTACCAGAGCTGTTCATCAATTCGACCCAGATGTTCTGCTTTCATTTCTTGGAGACAAGGGTGGGATCATGTGGAAGCTTGGAGATGCGGAGTCTCAGGGGCCTCTCACGAGCACCGCCGCAGGACCCTCAGCTTCTTCTTCGGCTAGTGTGACTGCTGAGGCATCTAGGCCAAGCTTAACGTCCACGCCAAGCGTTCCTCTGGGGCCTTTGGAGACGCCTCGAAGGGGCTACCATGAAGCACCGACCAGAAATGACTTGCCACCGTGCAATAGCGTGGCCCATACTCAGGTAACACCAAAGGTGGAGGATGTGGATATGGCGAACAATGTGAAGCCAGAGTCAGAGCCCACTGCCATTTCAACAACTAGGCAGTCAGGTCACAGGGACATCAGGGAGATGTTTGGCGCGAGCGTCAAAAAAGAGAAATTTACAACTATGCCAAGCAGCAGCAGCCAACATGCTGCACCCGTTCCCAGTGGTACCTCGACAAGAGATCGACTTAAGAACTTGGGCAGGATTAAGCTTGAGTCTACACCCAAGTTCGATGATGAAGCGACGGCCCGGCAACGGGCGAAGCTAGACACAAGACTCACGCCGAGAGAGACGCCTCGAAGCAGCAAACTCGATTCCGGCGTATTGAGAACGCGTGACCCGTTGGCACCGTTCGGAGGGAGGAGTTCGAGAAAAGAGCCCGTATCGTCGTTCAGCAGACGGGCCGGTTTGACGGGGACTTCGAAGCCCACGTCTCCGCTCCAGAGCACGTCTGACGAACCTTCCAAAACACCGCGACTAGACGCCGTGATGGGTGGTCCTACGCCCAAGCCTACACCACGTCTGGACGCGTTATCGGGAGGATTTTCTAGGAGCAGTCGACTAGGCCTTGGGGTCAGACCTAGAAGCCCTTCAAGCAGCCCATCACCAGCTACCGGCAGCGACAACCAGCCGGACTACATGGCGGCGATCCTAGACGCGGAGCGCTCCAAGAAGCGTCGTACCGGCTCGACATGGGAAGTGCGGTCGGCCTCGGGTACCATCATGGGCTCAGGCACGGCGTCCTCTGCATCGAACAGGTCGCGGTTCAGCGAACTTGTGGACGCAAGTCAACAAGAGAATCCCAGGCTCACTTCGCTTATGAAGGAGAAGAGCCCACCGCGTTCGCGCAGCGGGATTGGAGGAGGAGCGAGAACCTCGTCAGGAGCTCTTACGGCGCGGTCTCATAATGTGAGGCCGGGTCAGACTCGCATTTCCGGCACGATTCCTCGCAAGAGACAGATGGAGGACAATGACGACGAGGATGTCATTGACCTCTGCGGCGACGGCGGTCCGTCTCTGGGAGGACGTCTCGGAGGAGGAGGAGGAGCCTCGGGAGGGAGCAAGAGGGTCAAGAGCACTCCGGTCTTCAACCTTCTTGACGATGACCCTTTCGGCGAGGATTAATGGAGAGGGGCTGAAGTTCGTTGGTATTGGCATGAGCACAGCGCGTTGGAGCATCGGTGAGCATTTACTTCACTGGACATGGTTTGGTGATACTCCGTTGGTAGAAAGGGCTTTCTCTTTCCTGGATTGCAGGATGGAACGGTAATTACGGGAGAGGGCGTTTGGTCGAGATACTTCCTTTTTCCCTTTTTTTCTGCTGCCTCGGAGGGGCGCACATAGGCGATTTGCACGATACCCATCACTATAGACGTTTTAGAACTCAAGAATGCAATGCTCTTTTCTCTTCACTTCGAATCGATAGAAAATGATAGTCGTCATGAATCATTTGTATTTGGATGACATATGTCATTACTACGCTTTAAAGCACTGCTTTCCCAACTTTGCGTGCCCTGCTTTTTTTTGGGGGGGATGCCTTCTGTATTGGATACCAACAGAGTTTACATCACATAGAGAAGATCCGTGTCTAAACGACAATTAGCATTATGTATAAGAAGTAAAGAATACATGAACGACAAGTGGATGGACGCGGCTTACCGATGGGGTGACTGCTTGAAAGTTGAGGCAGCTGGGTGTACTTCTCCTCCAGGACCTCACGAATGCTGTTGAGCAGCTCGACGTAGCTTTGCTGGGGATTCTTCTTAAGAGCAGTGATGAAAGCGTACGACATGGCTCCCGTGGCTTGGTTCGCAATGGTAGCGTCGGCACTAGAGAACAACATTTGTTAGATTTTACAACTCTCTGCCCCCGCTTCAAAGCACGATAGACAAGAGAACTCACGATGTCTGACTGTCCTTGCTGCCGGACCACATGATGACGTCGGCGGGAGAGGTACGCGTGTCCTTGGTCTTTTCGTAGGCATCGTCGCCGGCAATGGCGCGCTTGCCGAAGCTGAAGATGGAGCTCGCGACACCACCTAGGTCGCCCGAGGTGTAAGCCGTGAATGCCTTGAGCAGTCCCTGACCAGCCTCCTTGGCCAGATTGGGCTCCTTGAGAACGCCCTTGGTGGAGTAGATGTAAGGCAGGTCGAGGGCGGAACCAGAGTGGCATGAGTCGAAAATGGCTGTAAGTCTCACGCCGGGCTGAAGGGGTCGGACCATGATGAGATGCATTTCGTCATCGACAATGTGACCGGCTTCCTTGTAATCAACCGGGTAGATGACTTCGTCGTAGCCGTCATCTTCATCGCCATCAAGATCCTCAGTCTGGCCGCCGTGACCAGAGTAGTGGAAGAACAAGGAGTCGTTTGGCTGTGCGCCCTGAACGAGCCAGTGCATGGCTCGGAGGATGTTGTTCTTCGTGGGCTGGCCCATGGCCTGCTGCTGATCGTCGGTGAGGATGACCATGTCTTCACGCTTGTAGCCGTACTTTTCTACCAGGAAGGCCGACAGGTTCTTGACGTCGTTGATGCAGCCGCGCAGCTCACCATCCTGGCCAAAGTAGTTGATGCCGATGAGGAGGGCTTTCCTCTTACCCTGACAGGTGGAATACTGAAAGCTGTAGCCATCGGGAGCGCCGTGGCCGAACTGCTGAGCGCCTGAAGGCGGGGGAGGGGGCGCGTTTCGGTTGCCGTGAGCCCAGTCGTTGGAGTTTACCGTGGGCATATCTGAGTTGAATCAGTACTCATGATACTTGAAAGAAGCGAGGTATGTGATACTCACGGGGTCTTCCCTGGTGGCCGGAATTGACAGGGTAGCCGTATACGTCGAGGCCCGGAGGCGGAGGATGGGAAGGGGGTGCATACCTTCCAATGTAGCCCTGGTCCGGGTGCGGGTTGGGCGGTGCCTGGTTATAGCCGTAGCCACCCTGACCCGGAGGCGGACCGGGAGGCGGGTTGTAGCCGCCGCCACCGCCGCCGCCGTAGCCTCCGTGGTGCGAGGGAGGGGGGCCGGGGGGAGGTTGGTATCCGCCATAGCCGCCGCCGCCTCCTCCTTGGTGACCTCCATAACCTCCCTGCTGGTGGTGTCCGCCGCCATAGCCTCCTCCACCATAGCCACCGCCGCCGCCACCGTAGCCGTGCTGTCCTGGGTAGCCAGACATGTTGCCGAGTCAATTGACGCTGTGCTTGTGCAGGATGAAGAGCGTGGGTCGTGCAAGACGTGTTTTGGTTTACACAGGCTTCGCTGGAACAGAGGTGAGATGAGTTGTGAGTGAGGTGATGTGCCGGAAAGGGCGGGGTGAGGGGCAAACCCACTATGAGCGAATAAGCTGTGCCAAAACGAGCCTTTGTTATTGGAAATGGAGACTTCCCGGCAAGCCGAGGAAGGTATGAAATCTACAGAGGAGGGTCTGAAGAGCTGCAGAAGTTCGGACTCGGAAGATTAAGAGTTGATATGAACGGAATGCGAAGGGTGTTAAGAAAGATTGTGGGGTTCGGTTGGGTGAGATGCGAGAGCGATGCGCAGAGAATCGGGTGGTCGGATTGGGGACAGCAATCCAAGGTAAGAGGAGGGGTGGAGGGGTCCTTCAGGTACCTTGCCAAGGACTTTGAGCGGTAGCGCGGCACTGCGGGAAGCTCCTGCTCACCTCAGAGCTGGGAAAGCGTGGATTGTGGCAGCTTAGGTATCCGTGATACCTTACTGCGTGTGTCGAGGGTGGGAAGGGATGGGCCCCAATGGAGGGGCAACGGGCGAGGCAGCCCAGGATGAGACGTCTTGAGGTCAGAGTGGTGGGGTTGGAGGGGGAAGGGGCGGTAAGGGGAACTGAACTGAATGGAAGGTGAAGGGAGGAGGAGGCCTCGGTTGCACTTGCACAAAAAGGCGCGACGTTTTGTCTCTTTCTGGGCAAGTGTTTGGAGTTTTCAGCTGGGATTCACACATGCCTCCATGCCTCCACGCAGTAGAAGAGACAGAAGGAGCTCCAGAAACTTGTTCCACATCATCTGATCGCCTCTGTCCGTACTGATACGCGCGAGGTTGAGGTACGCTCTCTTACATTCTCCCGCGTGTTCGAGATAAAGCCCCAGTATTTCGCATCTTACCGCTGCCTACAAAGTCAAATACCGTCTTCCTAAATTGCTGCAGCTTGTCTCCTGGCTTGGCTGCGAAGCATGGAAGGGCTTCGCATGCGAGGCGCACTCTGTTGGTCAAATCCATCAACAAGCCACAGTCGGGATGCCTCCAAGGCTGATTCAGATGGTCCGTGGTTCAATAGGTGGCTCACGGTAGTCTTGGACTCAATGGGAGGAAGAAGCCCAAGCCACGCTGAAATGCAGGTCTCAGGAAATCATTGCCGATGAGCCCAAATGCCGGTTGAAGCTTGATGCATCACCAAATACTCGTGATCAGCGACAGTTTCAACAACGTCCATACCCAATCATAACTTATACTACCAAGACTACCTTATTCGAAAGGAGCAGGGGGTCAGCTAGGTGGTTAGGTGCATAACTGTCTGTTATGGTTCATCGTTCACCAAACTGCCATCGTCTGCCAAGACCAAGCGGCTGTCAGTTCCCTACCCTTCCCGCGGACGGCAGAGGAGAAGGGACGGCGTGCCCAGACCTGGTCTGACGGGAAGAGAGGGCGGAAGGTGGAGGAAGTCCCATTGCTGCCCTTTTCTCTGCAACTCTGCGCAAGTCTGCACGCTATCATTCGTACATACGCGCAGTACATACAGCTGTCTGATGTCGCCACCCACCCCCAAGCCCGGAAGCCAATTCAAAGCACCGGACAGGACCTAATCCTCTTTGAGCAACGGCGATGTGGATGTGGCCGCGTACGCTTGCAGGTTCGCGGGCGGAAATAGACTCGGACGCCAAGACCTTCCCAGGCCACGCAGGCGCTAGATGGTGCCGTAGGGCAGCCTGGCGTCATACCTCACATGCTGGTGGTGATCAGGGTGCACCGCAGGGTACTGGGCTTCTTAGGTAAGGCAAGTGTTTGTACTGCGTACGCAGTATCTCTTGATGTGAGAGGGGAAGGGGGGCCAAAACTTGGGTTTGATAGGAGAATGTCACCAACAGGTTCAGCTGGCGACTGCTAGACATCTGTCAACCTTACCACACCTTGGGTCTTTGGCGTCGCAGCCTGGAACTGGGACTGGACTGGACCGGGCTTGATGTTGATACAATTGACTAAAATAAAGTAATACGAAGCTAGGGACGGAGCAAACCAGCATGAGCTCAGGCTCAAGCCAGGGCAGCCACTGCTAGTAGAGGGATGGCAGGCTGCTTTCTCGGTATCGGCATCCAGCCCATCGGCATCCATGTGCAGGTACCTTGCTCTTCACAGCAGAAACAGGTGGGAGCAAGGTAGCCCAGCACTAAAAATGTAGAACCATTCAATCAGGCTGAGGCCAGGCGAGAGAACGAGGGGCTACGGGCTACCATTCCTTGAGTCTTGTTTTTCTCCCCTCCCACCTATTATCTTGCCTATCCTCTTCTTGCCTTGCATCTTTACCCAAACGTCAACACACGATTCTCCTCGCTCGTCGCACGCGATAACCTACACGCACCGGCCTACGCATCAAATCATCGTCATCGTTCTTTCGTCCAGAAGCTCGCTGTAGCTTCCTCGACAAACCTATTCCGCCCACGACACACACTCGTTTCCCGACCCCGCAAAACTCAAAAATGGTGCGTTTTCGGTCGCACGACCCATGATGCTGCCCCTCACGTCGCAGCTCCGATGTGGCTTTCGTTTCGCTGGCATCCAAACGCTGACATTTCGACTTCGATCTTCGTGTAGGCCCCTCCGCCCTACGGACTCACTGAGGAGCAGTACAAAGACTACAAGCAGGTCTTTTCCATCTTTGTAAGTTGCAAGAACCCTGCCCCGCACATACGTATCTCGACAATGGCATTATCGTGCATTGTCCTCCTTGGGATGAACTCCTTGCTGACAGTGGTGTTTCTTCCCTGACAGGATCGCGATGGCACCGGTCAGTCACTCCCAACTCAACGCACGCAATTAGCCTTTCATACCGAATCAGCCTGCTAGGCTTGCCATTCCCGCTGGATTATCAGCTCATCCAGCTAACTAGAGTTGCGTATCTAGGCGCCATCAACGCGGAGGAGTTCCAGATCGCCATGAAGTCTCTTGGGCTGAACCCCAGCATCCAGGAGGTCAACGAGCTCATCGCCGAGGTCGACCCCAATAACGACGGCGGAATTGATTTCGAAGGTGCGCCTCCGTTCTGACCCGTGGCGCGATTATTAACACTGTCGCCATGGTGATTTTGCTGTCGCAACTTGGAATCCCTGCGACTAACAACGACCGCAGAATTCCTCCAACTCATGAGCGAGGCACCCGCACCCTCCAGCAAAGATTCCGACACCAACACCGAGCTTGTCGCCGCCTTCAAGGTCTTTGACAAGGACAACAGCGGCTCCGTCTCGCCCTCGGAATTGCGCCAGGTGCTGCTGTCCCTCGGCCAGCGCGCCACCGACGAGGAGATTGAGGAGATGATCAGAGGTGCCGATCTCGACGGCAACGGTTCTATTGATTGTAGGCAATCCCCAATACTGCGAATTTGTACCCATGCCGGTCGCGATCCCATCAATACTGCGAGCGTCTCATCCCTCCTCGCCCACCGGAATGGCCCTGCATCACCACCCCATTCGCATTTCGCTTGCCACCCCCGCCCCCACTCAGTGTTTCTTTAATTAGCACCATCACTTTCGGGAGGATTGCGGCTGACATTGCAAAAAAACACAACAGATCAAGAATTCGTCCAGCTCATGGCCCCGAAAGACGGCAAGAAGTAGAAACAGTATTCTGCAAACGCGAGAAGCAGCGACAGCAGCGACAAACGGTTTGTTGGCGGGGCGATCTTTCTTTGATTTTGGGTCCAATGGGTGGTGGGGAGGAAGGGGGAGGAAAAGCACACACACTGCCGCCTTGATACCCTTTCCTCATAAGGCACAGTGAGAGAGAGGATATGGATGGGTGCTTTCAAAGTGGAGGAAAACGACTTGGCAATACACATCACAATCACACACATGACACAATACATGCAAGACATTGATTGACAGCTTTGACACGGATGATTTTACACATTTTTCACCAAGGTCTTGCCTGTCTAATGCAGGAGAATATTTAACGGGTGGGTGGTGTTTTTTTCTTGTTGGGTGTATTTACTCTGCTAATGACCGAGGTTGACTATTGCCATGTCGAGTCCTCCTCACCAAGTAAACAGCCCGAAAAAACCATCCTATCCCGGAAAACAACAAGGAAAAATGAGCGAAACGCAATCGCCATGTGGGTAATCGTAAGAGCAAAGAACGTCTCTCTCAATGCTCAAGTGAACAAACTAGCGTGCGGTCGTACGTGAGAAGAACCGGCATCGCAAAGAAGGGGTGTGTGTGTGTGGAAGGATAGAAGAATAAAGCAGTCCCGTCTTCCAAGCCGAGTCAAACAACCTCCCGTTTCCCTCCATTCCCCAATCCGTTTTCCCGTTCTCCAAAGCAAAGGCCGTGATCGCGTTCGGGGGGTTGATGGAATCAGGGGGGCCCATCTAGTTGGTATCTTTGTGTGTTGTTGTAAGTTTGTTGCTTTGGTCGCACTCGGTATCATCGCTTGTGTTCGGATGTTGCTTGCTTTTTCAACTGTTCCCTTCCTTCTGCTTGGCGTGTTACACGTTATACGCGCGCGCGTGTGTGTGGATTAGAAGCAGCAGGTCAGGCACTCGAGGCAGCACTCGCAGGTCTCTCCGCAGAGCCAGCAGCAGCAGAGAGTGGCGATGCTATTTGTGCGTGGTCAGTTCGGTTTTTGTTCCATCTCGCGCGCCGCGAGGGCTTCGAGGCTGTCGATGTCAAACTTACCAGCCGTAGAGGCAGCCCTTGTCATCCTTCTTCTCCTCCTGGGGAGGGGGAGCCTGGCCCTGGGGAGGGTAGTACATCTACAAAAGCGGTGGAGGTTAGTGTCGGGCTTTTTCGCAACAGAGGGTGACTATGCCCATGGAATTCCCATTCGTTCGGTGGACGTTTGGGCGTAAGGGGGCGAGAGAACTCACGGGCTGCTGGCCGGGAGGAGGGTAGCCTTGGGGAGGGTAGCCGCCCTGGGGAGGCGGGGGAGAGCCGTAGTAGGGCCTGGAAGGGATTG